CATTATTTTGTTGTAGGGCTATACTTAAATTATTGCAGAATGATGGGTATCAAGATAGGTACAATTTCTAGGAGTAATTAATTAGGTGATAGTGCCACCATATTATCTTCTATTCAGACAATATCTGGAACATTATGTTCAGTGCTGGGCAACTTAATTAGGAAAGACATTAATAGGCTGGAAATTATGTAGAGCAAAGGTATTAAACGTGGGCCATATGTGGCCTACAACACTTCCAAGTAAGCTTAATCAGATTAAAATATATTTGGGAAATATTTAATTAAATAAAAATATAATAAAACATAGATAACATTACATTTTAAAACTAACATATGGCCTATGGGGATCTTTACATATGGATTAGTGGCATCCCCCTTCTATTTGAGTTTGACACTACTGATCTAGAGGTGGGCAATTGGAATGACACCGGGCCTGGATTCTATGCAATATGAGCATTTATTGAAGGAATTGATCATGGTTAACCTGGTGAACAGAAGATTCAGGATAAGAATGATAGCTGATTTCAAGTATTTGAAAGGCTGTCAGGTGGAAGAGAGATTAGACTTGTTTGACTCTTCTACTCCCAAATCTCCCCCCACCAATATACACAAATAGGGCAGAATAATAGAAAAATATAACAAACAATAGATAACATTATAATGTATACATTATAATATTATATTATTGTATTATTACATATGTAGAAGAAATAGTAATAGAATAGGGTAATGAGTAGAGATTGCAAAGACATAAATTCAGGTTTTATGGAAGGAAGAACATTTAGGAAAAGGTGGAATGGACTCTGGAGTGGTAGTGGGCTCCCTGTCAGAGGAATCTCCAAGCAAAGCTGGGATGACCACTTGTTGGGTATGCAGTAGAAAGTCTTTTTATTGCTGTTGTTTTTCTGGGTTTAGAGTAGATGGCCACAGAAGTCCCTTCCACCTCTGAAATGCCATAATTTGGTAAAACAAGGTAACTTGAATTTGTCCCAAGAAAAATTGCTGCTCCTCTGGACACCAACTCTACTCTGCAGAGGATTCCAACAACCATTACTCCCTCCCCCCCCTTTCCTTCCTTCGCCACAGAACCAACCGTCCAAGAGAAGCACTAGGGCTAACACTAATTAAACAACAAGTGGCGTCACTGGGGCCCACTGAACATCCTAGAAAGTGATCCTCCTGGAGCCACCATCTGTGACGCCTACCTATAATGACCAGAATGAGGATAGAAGAGTGGTGTTTCTATTAATGATAGCAGCTTATTATCTTTCTTTCGCATGCAACTGACAATTTTGTCTCATCTTCCCACTGGAACCTGCCCTTCCCCACCAAATCTGTTTTCTGCCACAGAGTAATCTGCTGAAAAATCCCAGTTCTGAGCACCTAGTACACACAGTTGCTGAGTATGCTGCACTACTGAGTAATGATGTATTGGATGCATTTTTTTCCTGGTAGCATTGCTGCGCTTTGGGAAAATACTGAGAACATAGAATAAATGAACGTTTATTGTTTACCTACTTTTATTCTTTGCTCTGAACTGCCTTTTTGCTTCAATGTGGGAGTCATTGGGGAGTTAGCGTGAGACCTTGTGTCCTACCTCAGTCACTCGCTAGTTGTGAGTCTCTGGGCAAATCCTGCAGTCATTCAAGAGAAATAATATCTGTAGTACATACTTTTATAAGGTTGCTGTGAGAATCAGATGAGATAATATAAGTAAAATACTTTGCAAAATTTAAAGTATGCTCTAATTGGAGAGCTTAGGTAGCATAGTGGATAAAGCATCTGGCCTGGAGTCAGAAAGACATAAGTTCAGATCTAGCCCTAGGCTCGCTGTGTCACCCTGGCCAAGTCATTTAACCCTGTTTGCCTCAGTTTCCTCATGTGTAAAATGAGCTGGAGAAGGAAATGGCCAACCACTCCAGTATCTTTGCCAAGAAAACCCCAACTGGAGTCACAAAGAGTTGGACAAGACTGAAACAACGGAACAACAACAACAACATAATTGTCAGTTATTATATTACTGTGATTTTTAATATAACAATAATATAATATAGTAAAGGGGAAATAACACTGGTAAGAGGACCTGGGTCGATCTGTAAAATGAGGGCTGGAGATAGATTAGATAGACTTTCAGGGCCCTTCCAGCTCTGGGTCTACGACCTAAGATCCAGTGATCCAAATGACTGGCTATGTTGTCAGTTTATTCATTCATCAAATATATATTAAAGGCTTACTGTATATACGGTATGGCATTATGTGTTAGAGCTATAAAGATAATATTGAAACATTCCCTGCCCTCAAGGTACTTAATATTTTACTGAGGATGAAGGGAGGGAGGTATATGACCATAGATAGCTGTAAAAACAAGACAATCTGAGGAGGGAAAGAATGCTAAATGGCAGAAAGTTATAAACTCGTCTCCCATGTAAGATGATATTTCCTGAATAAATTATGAATGATTATACACAAATCTAATAATTTTGATCCATTTGCCCAATATTTTACCATAAATAATCAATCATTAAATGGACAAGCATAGGATTTTTGGGGACAATAAACATAACTCATCTATAACATGCTTAAATGTTTATGAAATGTTTGCCACATGATAATCCTTGGAGACTAGTAAATGAAAATATTTTACAGAGAAGGAAACCAAACCTAAAAGAAGCAAAGAAACTTGCTGATGATCACATAGCAGTAAGTGTCAGAATCAGGATGCAAACTCAGGTCTCATGACTCCAACTTCAACTATAACACGCTGTACATAGGGAGTCAGTTATTGAATTAGGGCAAAAGTCTGCTTATTATTCAAATGTACCTACCAAACTGTTGCCTGCTTAACTACACATAAATACTTAATGTCATGAGCTTGATGGTAATATGATTCTTTTTAGTAGAATGAATTTTGTTTTTGCTTAGGGATTTTCATTAATTTGTACCTTAAACTAAGGCTGTGTGTATGCAAGACCAAACCTAGAGAACAAAGATGAAAACTTCCATTGCTGGGGAGTGATAGGTGGTTTATCTCAATGGCTACACTAAACTGGATAAATTCAGAATTGACTCAGTTTAAATGAAGTGTTTCCTCCATCTCCTTATTTTCTTGCCATTCATCCAGATTCTACTGATTTTCATCTAGTCAAAGGTTCTATTGTACCATCTAATGAGCTCGAAGTTTCTGATGATGGACATAACTTAAAAGTTCTGTTTTGTGAAATTTCATTTCTAAATTTATACCTCCTAATGCCTCGATCCACCATTAGCCAGTCATTCAAACCTATAAAAATAATAATACTTTTTATCTGGACCTGTGATTTTATAAGTATAGGGAACTTTTAGTGAGGAGACTTTCTACCAGTGGAAGTCAACAATTTCTGCAATTTTTTTTTTAGTGGTAGAGAGTTAACTTGGGGGTATTGAGATGGTGACACAGGGTCACACAGACAATATGTATCAGAGGTAGGTGTAGAACCCAGGTATTCCTGATACCAAAGCCAGCTTTCTATCCACAATCAATCTGCTTCTTATATTGGTTCCTATGTAATCAGAAACTTAAGAATCATCATTTTTATTTGGATTAATGTATGCCTTTAAGAAAACTAAACTCAGAGAAAGTATATGACTCCTTATTCCCAAACTGAAATGTTGATAAAATTTAATTTTGATAGAAATACTGTATTTAATTCACATTTTGGTACTTTGAGGGATCTGTTATCTCATTGATCTTGGTTCTTATGCCAACAGTGCAAATCAGAGTCCCTTTACACATATACAATTCTTGTCCATGTAAGTCTATAAGCATTCTTAAGCATTTACAATGTCCCACACATTATGCTTTAACAAATCCTCCATGATTGTCCATCTAAACTGATTGGACCTTTCTTTTGCTCTCTTGACAGTGTATGGCCACCATGGGGTATAGAAGGTATCCAATAATTGTTGGGAATTATATATTTTTTTAAATCACAATTTTAGAGTTGTAAGGCACTTTGAAAACTTCAACTCTTAGTTAAAGCATATGGATCCCATCTGCAATGACCCTGACAAATGGTTACTATCTGCTTCTCTGGATATGATAATGGCTCAGGCTATTAGCAGAAAAATACGCAAATAAGTATCTATGTATATATGTATGTGTGTATATGCATGTGATGGATATGTGTGCATGTATAGTTATACATATATGTATATGTATATGTATATGTATATGTATATGTATATGTATATGTATATGTACATATACATATATATTCTCAATAAAATAGGAGCCTCTTTCCCTGTGGCCATGAGAAATATAAAAATTTGGAGGTACTGGCCACAACTTTAAAAAGTTTAATCAAGCTGTCTTATGATATTTCCCATTCCAGTGTATTATTTGAATCTTTTATTTCTTCTTCACCATTTGGCTGACTGTGTTTAGGATATTTCATTGTTACTCAGCACTTCTATCAAAGCACAGGGGAAAAATTTTATGTGCATATATTATATATGTTGTCATTGCTTAATTGATATTGATCAACAAGGATTGAAACCTGCAATTTGGTAGATATATGTAGCCATGGTCGAAAACTGATTGCTTAAAGGGGTTCAAAATATGGGAAGTTTAAAAGAAATATCCCATTAATTTGTTATAAGCAAATATCTAACACTTCTGATGAAAATGAATAATGATAACTCACAAAGTTATTATGAAGGGTGTGCTTTATAAACCTTAAAGTAATATGTAACGGTGAGTTATGATAACAAATATGGAATAAAATACTTTACAAAACATGCTCAAACCTATTGAAGGAAAAATTTACTGATCATAATCCATCTACATATCGCTATCCATTTAAGATGAAGCCGGTGTGTGCATAGGAAGTAAAGAGCAGTGCCAAAGCTTTTTTTCTTTTTGTCTTCCATGGCATTAAATTCATAGTTAGCTCATAGACTCACAGAACTTAATCTGTTTCCTTTCTGTCATTCTTCTCTTTTATGATTTGTTTTACTATGAAGAGGCCTAAGAAGCCTGTTAAAATACAATGCCAGAAGAAAAGAGGATCGGAGAAGACATCCAATAATTAAGTCACTTTGCCTGGCAAGTGTTCCGTTAGAAGGTAATAGCCCTGGAACATAAGTTGTTTGGGGCATTTAATTATTATAAACTTGAATTTAATAGAAGCTGCCTGAACACCCTCAGTTGATCAGTACGTGTTAACCTGGTAAAAATACTGTTGTTGTTTTTTTTTACAATGATCAAAATGGTGTTTTCATATTAGTATTTCATTACGTTAGAGATAATATTTGCACTTATGTTTAAAAGAAACAAGTTGCTGTCGTCTTTACTGTGTTCAGCATTAATTATAAAATTTACTCATTAATATGCTTTTATTCTTCCATTGCTATCTATGCACAATTAATCACATATAAGCTTGCTGAATGATAATGGTGAATAATGGAATGATAATGGAATTACAAACCTTGTAAGTCTATCTGTTATTCCTCTGTCCCATCTCTCCTCCCCACCACCACCCATACACAGATGACTGGCTTGGGCAGACAGTTACATTGCTCATTTTCTATTCAAGTCACCTTTTACAAATGATAGAAATTTTAACCCTGCTTTTGGGGGGAGATGCCATTGATATGTCTTCAGACTTTCCCTTACCTCCCACAGAACAGACAGTTTGCTCTTCAAAAGTTTGTTTGGAAATGAAACCAAATTCTATGTTTCCTCTACAGATGGCTGACCTCTTTCAGTTGGTGGCTGCATTACTCATTTAAACAATTATACAGGTCAGAATAGTGTAATCTAAATTATTTAGTCTCTGGGTGTTTTTCAGACACCAGTGACAGTTCGAGATGTTCCAGCTGCTGCTTGTACCTGGATTTGAACTCCACACATGATAACAGAGCTTTAGGTCAAATTTCAGAGCCCATCAATTGATTCTGCCTACTAGCTTGCCTGCCATAGTACTATGCCAGCATCCTGAGAGAACTCTAAAAGAACTCTGAAAAATCAGAAACCTGAAGACTCAGTCTCTTCAGAGCTAATGTTGAAAATGTTTGTAATTTAAAATAATAATAATTATAATATTAAAACCCACCTAGATATTCCTTTCTTGTAAGATATAACTTAAAAACACCTCTCTTTTTTTTTGTTTGTCCCCCACAGGGTGCAATCCAAGTCTACCAAATAGACTAGCAAAATATTATGATAACCTTTTCCATCCTAATTTGTACTGGAGGCTGAGTGTGTGCTAGGATCAACATTAATTACTGTATAACATTTCAGCTGTGTGGTTCATGGAAATGTCAGGGAGTTAGCTAAAGGGGACCCAAGGTCTTAGAGACAACAGGGGGGCAGGGGCTATGGCACACGTGCTCCGTGTGGGCGATAGGAATTTACAAAAAATTCAACCCTGGACTGAGGTTGCAAAGCCAAGCAACTCCAGTCAAAGTTGGGTTGTTTCAACAATGTCCTATGGACAATGCCACATCTTCTGGCTCTATGCTACCATCTTCAGATACTTTATTTTTTTAATTAATAAAGTCTACGTTCCAACAGTTAGCATAACATCTTATAATAACACTTCTCCATAATGAGGGATCTAGTTTGTTAAAGTTAATATATCAGTTTGAATTAAAGAATTTTAAATTTAGATTCCCTTTGCAGCTTGAATCCAAACTAATTACAGGTTTTAAATTGTCACTAGTAGGAGCTCAGCCAGGGCATATTTCCTCTCTTCTTAAGTTGCACTCTGAGAATTCATGAATCAATTTTTTTCTGGGTCATGACTTTGCCCCACTAGGAGCAGAGAAAACCCTTCAGTGTGAAGAAAAATGCGATGGCAGGGATCCCAGGTTGGGCAGAATTTGTACGTAAAAGCAAAGGGAAGTAAATGACAGGGGGAATTTCTAGTGCTATGAGAAAGAAAACCTTTTCTGTTGAAAAAAAACCCCAACAAAAACCTCACCACGGATATAATCCAAACCGTAATGAATTTAGGAAATACTTTTAAGCCCAGCAGTATCCACTTCTGTTCCTGTAATTTTGAAGTGCTGAATGGTTTAGGAAAGGGACTGCTTTTTGCAAGCCTTTTTTTTAAACAGCAGAGGTCACCTTAGTACAATCCTCTTCAAGAGGAAAAAAAAAAGGCATTCTTCTCAGTGGTGATAAATTAAGTACTTTTAAACTATCAGCAACCCTTCTCTTATTTCATTGAAATAATGAAAAAATCAGACAAATTGTTACTTGGCCTTTTATTAAAAAAAAAGTTTAATGAAATGAATTTGGTTCTAATTCAAATGACAATTTCCAAATCACATGACTTTTAAAAAGATAAGCATGAGAATAATGTGAAATCACCTAAAAATCCACAGGTTAGTTATATTGCCATTTGCAATTTGAATTTGCTTAACAATATTCTCTGTTATGCTTAATGTTGGAGAAACATCCAGTAAATAAACTCAACCAGTTTGGGTCACTGAGACCCATTTTCAAAAGCTAATTATATGTAGGAAAATATACATTGCTAAAGAAAAATAGCTGGTAACATGTCTGATCAAATATAAAACCTCATAAAAAAAGCAAATAAAATATACCTTGATACTTTGGCCAATTAACCTAAAACATATCAAGTTGTAGAAGCTAATGGTATGCCTACATTTTCACATTTTTAACATTGCTACCTTTTCTTCCTATTGCAACTAAAGTCACCTTGGAAACTACTACCAAGAAAAACTTCATTGGACACCTAAAAAGCAAAAGTCAGAAATTAGCAATTTGATTTAATAAACTGCATGACTTTGAAATTTTACTGTAGAATGATTCTTTTGATTGAAGATGCATTAGAGAAAACTATAAACAAAATATTAGCATTTGGTAATATTGCCAAGTCTTTTACTACGGTATCCCTTTCACTTTCTACACTCATTATATATGATGACTCAATCAACAAGCATTTATTAAATACTTGCTATAGGCCATAAGTGTGCACAAATCATATCTGCATTGCATATGACAATTTGCCATTTCAATATTCAAGAGAATAGAAACAAATAGTTGAGTACAATAAAATACGTTTATACATATGCCTCCTACCTTCCCAGTGAAGTTGTTGGCACTTCCCAAACAGGAATATTTGTAGTCACTTAGGAGGTTTTTGGGGAAATTATTAGAAATAAAAGTGCCCAGGGCATTGTTAAATGCTATTTTAGTTTTTAAGCACTTTATTAGATTTCTTGCTTGAGTGACTTGCACAGAAAACATTTTATCTATTTTGTTTTCCTCTGATTACCAACTGTGTTAGACACAAAAGTCAACTTGAAACTAGCTTACAGTTTAAAGGCAGGTTTAATAACAGGTGAACACTGAAAAATATGCAAACAAAATGGCAGACATGAATGACTTCATTTAAGGCATAATTGCTTCTCATCAACCCAAGAAATCATGCAGAAACAGTCCCTGTTTTACCCAGCCAGGAAGAGCCTGGAGGAATCACTCAGGCAGAGACACTAAATGGAAGGTCCATTCCTGGGTCTCAGCCAGACAGCCTCTCCATACACAGATCCAAGCTTAAAGACAATAGCCCTTAGAATCACAGTTCATCATAACAGATAATTACACAGCAAGTAAGACAATAAGATTTTTGGCCTCTGAATATATAGCCTAATTGTGGGCTATAGCGTTCTGCCTGGAAGGTATACAGCACAATCCTCTGCAAAAGTATTATTGTGGTGGGAATGGTGTGGTGGTGGTGGACAAGGCTTTTACTCTCTGGTGAGTTCCATATGTTGGATTTTTGTCTTTTCATGAGGTTGTGTCATTGGGATTTTTATTAACTACAAAGACCTGGCATGTTTCCAAATGGCTATTGACATATCCACCTGGAAGATGTTTTAAGAGGAAATGCCCTTTCCAACCTGCCAAATAACTTTTTAGTCCATTGACAGATAACACATATTAAAAAAAAAAAAAACAAAACCAAAAACCAAAAACATGCTTTCAAATTTGGCCCACCAAATACTCAATAAGCTATACATCATAACTTGATTTCCCAATTTTGAAAAGTGAGCAAGATTCTAATAGGTCCAGAGAGTGTATTTATTTATGAATCAGGGTTAACATAGATCCATGTTATCAATAGCTCAAACTCAGAGTAAGTCAATATTTAATTTGTGTATGTATATATCGTCCATACCTTAATAGACTGTTCTGCCTCTCTTCCCCCTTCTGTTATGTATGTATCCATGTGAATTGTACATATACGTAACAAATACAGAGAGTGTGAGAGAGTGTGCATACTTCAACTGCACTAAGACTTTTGGGACACCTCATGTTATATAGACCCCTGAATTAATATGATGCATGAATAAAAATATCTCAATGTGTATTTCAATATGCCATTATTTATGGATAAAATGTATTAACATATATAAAGCAGTTTGTACACCATAAGTGCTTAAATGCTAGGTATATGCATACATATAATATGCACATGTAATCTGAAATTTTTTCAATATATTATCAAACTCTACATTTTAGTCATTCCAGGAACTTACTAAATTTAATGGGAGTTATACTGGGGTTGCTGTTGACTATGATGTGCACGATTATGAAATAAAGAGTACATATTATTAGACTCAGATATAGAATGCTGGTTTACTCTAGTCTAGTGCTATTGATGCATGTGTTCATATTAACCCCAATTCTTAAGTAAATACAGTTTCATAATCTATTTGAATTCTTTTTTACATTTAAAAATTAGAAAAACAAGTTAATATATAGTTCTATTATCAACTAATAGTTACAAGCCCACATATTACATATGTGGTGCATTTATATGTTTCTATAAAAATGTACCCAGATAGGGCACAGGTTTGGGTTTTGTCTTTTTTTTTTCTGATTTGAATTTGGTCTTTGACCTTTTTTTTTTTTACCCTTTACCTCTGTCAGTTCTTCTCTTGTCTCTATCTATCTATCTATCTATCTATCTATCTATCTATCTATCTATCTATCTATCTATCTCTATCTGTCTGTCTATCTGTCTGTCTGTCTATCTATCTCTGTCTATCTGTCTATCTGTCTGTCTATCTGTCTGTCTATCTATCTATC